GTTCTATATTTTGTCATTGTTTTTACCACATTTAAGGCAGTAAAACTGGGTCAGTTTGACGTGCAGAAAGGGATTTCAGCTCGTCAAGTTCGTCAGAAACCAGACGGTAAGCAAAACAATTCTATAATTTTAGGCAGGAATCATTTGAGATTTGAATGTCTAACTAGGACATCTTGTTGCAGTACAGTCCAAGACTACGATTTTTTGAACTCCTGCATCGGCCCGATATTAGGTTATTGAGTGATAATAGTACGTTTTTAAGGGGATCGTATTTTGATCGTTGAAGCGGTCCCATGTCTTGGTCGACATTCAAATATTCCTGTGATTCAAGATGACTAGCAGTGCGAAACGTCTACTTAGGGGTGACCCATTAGACTTTTGAGGGGGGATGGAAGATTTTGAAAACAAATTCCTACAAGGCAAAATTTTGAAAAATCTCCACTGAAGCTTTTGTGAAATTACAAAAAAAATGCCATGACGCAAAAAAAAAAACATTTCTTGCACTATCTGCATTTTGAGCCTAATAGGTTCGAGTCCCGCAGGCTTTTCTTCATGTTCATCAGAGAGACAACAATAACGAAGATAGATCTTCGGTACTTTTGAAATAATCTATATACGTCGGATTAATTGACCAACATGTATAAATCAAGAAGTAATAACGTAACTCAATTCTATCCAAGCACGTACACACCATTTGGTACTTTATTCTCTTCCTTCTGTGATCTTTCCCTCGTGTCTTTGAGCGAGTCCAACATTAAAAATAGGCAGTCGAGGACTGTATGTGACTCAGGCTGAATGAGGCAGAGTAGATAACCAGAATGTTAATTTGAGTTCAGATTGTCACTTAGTGATTGTGATAAGCTTAAATCCACTTAMGTACACTGTATTACTATTTTATTTATTTTTGGTCTTTAGTGTATGACAAAATTTCTTTAATGGTTTTATGAAAACCACTTGTGACCAAGTGGACTACCACATCAAGTATTTGTGTATTGATTCTTTT